AGGCCTTCGCCGTCGGAGGGCGCCGCCTCCTTGTTTTTTCCTCCGGTAGTGCACCTGCTGCCACTCTTGACCACCACACCACAAGGAGGCAAATGTCTCAATTAGCAGATCTCAGCACTGAGTTTACAAGAGTTTATCGGCTAGGAAGAAAACATCATTTAAAATGACTGCTGAAGTGTGAATCAAATGTGCTTTTTGATGATCAAAATAGTTTAATAATATTAGTTTCATAACTCACATAAAATAGAATGTTGACAAAGCCACCTACAAAACAGGTCGGTAAAAATAAATTTAATTTATCAAAAAATCTTTAGGAGGAGAAAAAGTTGAGTTCAACTTGTTTTCCTGCTCCATCCTCCACACAGTATGACTCAGGCGTGTTAACAGGTTGTCCTTGAGTGTCATCCTGGCCTTTGCCACTCACTTTCTGACAGCAGCAGAGTGAGGCCTGCTCCTGGCTGAAAGTGAGACCACAACCTGAAGTTATTGGTGTCCATCCCTGGTCATCCTAATGTCATGGCCGACACTCCGCCAGAGGAAACCAACCATCACACACGGCCGCCCTAATGCTGCTGATGAGACAGAGCGCCTCGCAGGCCTGCACGCCCTGAAGCTGTGGCCGCTCACTGTCTACTTAACCTGAGTTGACAGACTGTCATCCACGCTGCACACACACGCACACACACGAGTGTGCCTGCACCAACACATGAAGTGCTTCACAAAAATGCACATATAAAAAAGCCCAGAAATACATATTAATTCTATTTTGCTTAAAGAAAGCAAATGTTTACAGCTAAAATAACTAAAGATTGGTCAAAATCATTCAAATTCAAGAAGTCATACAGTAAGGTGAAAAATGAATGGGAAATCAATTTGTTTAAATTAAAAATAATTACATTATTAAAGAGATAGCTTTGGATATTTAAAAACAAAAAATAAGTCAGGAAGTAAAATTTTATTTGAATTGAAAAGATAAATAAACTTGTAGATTTAGTAAGTTAGTCAAGTCAGACATCAGCTAATCATTGTATATATACATATATATATAGTAGAGCAAAAAGTATTAGTATTAAACACAAAACTGATTAAACGTTACACTTGTTGTTTCCCTAAATATGACATTAAAGCGACGCGAGGTAACAGCAGAAGTAGTAAAAAAAATAATAATAATAATATTCAATTCAAGTCCTTGGCAACAAAGAGTGAACGACATACAACTGTCATGACTCCCTTAAACCTCATTATTATTTGAGGGTCTATGATAGCAGGGAGAATTTGACGAAGGCTGTTTCACAACTGGAGTTGTTTGTTTGTTTTTTTGTTTTTTTGTTTACTGGAATAAATAAGATTTATTGAAAAACCCTCACGGTGCAGGCAGTGAGAGGAGAGGAGGTTACAGGATAGTTGATGTTGGTAGGGGGTGAAAGGAAACACCATGGTGTTGATCTCCTGGAATGTGGAATGCCAGAGAGCTGGCTTGACTGGCACCAAACCAAATGCCTTCAGCCCACCCCATCAGCACCACCCCCACCACCACTCTCACTCGGCCATGTCCCTATTCTAACTCCCCCCAATCCATCTCCCTCGTCTCTCCCTGTCTCTCTCTCTCTCTCTCTCTCTCCTCCACTGCCCATGAAACAGGAGAGCTGCCATCTCCGCTTCCTCCGACAGGATCAGCGATCACTCTGCCCAGGTCTCCGCGCAGACGACATTCCTTCCCCCTGCTGCTGCTGCTGTTGCCGCCCGGCTGTTGCAGCGGGCATCCAGAATAGATCTCTGACGTCCACCGGTTACTAGAATACGCCACTGTCCCGAGAATCAAAGGAACAAAGAGGACAGAGGTGCTCACATCACATACACCTAGAACTCTCTCAGAGATGTAAAATAAAAGCAGAGGTTTCCTCCCCTACACCCATGTCACAAACCATACCATCATGAATACTACGTCACTGTGAGTAGGAGCCTTCAAACGGTCATGTCAGACGTGCAATCTGGGTGTCGTTGGGGGGGGGGGGTGATCTAAACCGTGACCGCACTTTGACCCCATATGTTAATTACATCCGTACAATCGATCAGAAACACCAGGCCACAGTAGAGGAAAATGTTAACGCTATTTCTACAGCTTCAAATGTAATCTTTTTTTTTATTATTCTAAAGAGAGTAATGTCAAAACCTGTTGGAGTTAGTAGATGATCACATTTGTTCATGTGACACTGCCGTCATGACTCCAACAACATGTTGGACCGAAACATGGCACCAACCGGTGGATCAATTCATATTAGCTTTGGCACAGTTATAGTGAACATGTTGCAGGGGCTAAGTCCCAGTGACAGTGATGAACTCCTGACCTCTGTCCAGGGCCTCAGATAACTGTAAAGATTAGCTTTTTATTTAGAAGTCATTCTACAATTATTAAACATTTTATTAATCACATTTTCAATTCTGTCTTTTAGATATTAAATTATATTTAAGTCTTCCACGACAACTTAATTTTTTTCTTGATGTTTTCTTGATTTTTTTTTTTTACCTTTTTGCTTACTTTATTCTCAGTTTGAACTATTTTTGACTACTTTTTTCAAAGTGACACTAGGTCAGAAAGATGTATTCACTTTTGAAATGCTGCAAACAAAATAAGTCAATGGTCAGTGAATGGAAAGGCTGTCACTGTTTACTGTGCTCCATATTCCTGATTCATGTTGACGGAAGCCCTGCGTTTGTCAGGGGAGGTGTCTGCAGTAAAAGTGCCACAGCCTCCCAGATTGACACTCATTAGTGGGGGGCTCCGAGGCAGCATGAGTGGGGCTGCAGGGGGCAAGAGGGCAGCACGGAGGGTGTGAGAGGCCACATCCCACTAAAAATAAATGATTTCTACTGATTGATACAGATAGCAGTGGACTGAAAGGTCCAGATGAATCACAGGGCTTAGGTGGTCCCTGTGTCAGGCAAGACCTCCGGTTGGCAAGCTGTTGTCAGATAAGACCTAGCTCAAAGGCACCATGTCCACAGCTAAATGTGTTTGATCTGAATCCCACACATAAATGCCCATGACCCCTGTAATACCAGCCCCTCCCTCCTTCTCCTCCTCTTCCTCCACAGGCTTTTCTCCTTTACTTGTTGTGTGTGACCACCCTCATCAGTACCCCTCCACCTCCTGTCACTCAGGCCATAGATACACACACACACACACACACACAAACAAACACACATTGGCTAGAAATGCCAGCAGTGGGCCAGGAGCAAATGGACCAAAGATGGACACCTGCACTTCTTAGCCCCGTGCTGCACTTTCCATGTCCTCAGATCCAGCTTCCACCACTGTGTCCCAGTATTCAACGGGCAGCTCAGGACGTTCACTATTCATGTGTTCAGATGCCAATCACTCAGTCACTTCCAACTTCATTACAGTGATTGGACCCTCAGCCTCAAACTTACAGCATGGTAGGGACAAGATGGAGGGATTATTTTGAGACCAGGGCTCACTTTGGATTTCCTTCAAAACTCTCCTCCATCTTCACATTCACAGGCACTGAGTTACAGGAGCACAGGGGTCAATAGGTCAAAGTGGTGGAAAATGAAGCTGAAATGAGTGTGAAAACAAAGATTCCAATTTCTATAAAAACTCAACAAGTCAACAAGTTAGCTTCAGTTAAGTCAACAGCTAACAGTAGCCAGCTTTACCTTCTGTATCTGCAGCCATGCGCTAACAGCAGGCCAAGTTTGGAGCTGCAGCTGTGGATTTCTCAATGAATTTGAAGGGGCACAGCAAGTGTGCTGCGGTGGGGCCGGGGGAGTCTGTCTGCATGTGAGCTGGGTCAGGGTGGGCAGGGAGAGTGTGCTGGAAAGTATGGTGCCTGTAAGTGAAGGCTGGCAGTGAGTTGGAGGGCAGCAGGGGGGTCTGCATTCATGGAGCAGGTCAGAGGAATGTGTGGAAGTGCACAGCTGCCCTGTTTTGTCATAGTAGTGCACTGTGCTGTCTGTCTGAGTAACATAAAGCTGCCAGTGTTATGTGTACATGTGCAGGACCTCCCATGAATCTGCACAAACCAGCGTGAATGAAGCTTCACGGGCTCCAGCTAACAGAGTTAAGGCTGCGTTTGAAAGTCACACCAGGCTTCAGTCTGACATTTTAGTTCACATCATCACTGTCTATTTATCATACACTCGCTGTACAGTGGAGTCTGGCTCCGTTCTAGAACGTCTTCTGCCTTAGTGTCGGTAAATCAAGCTTTGTCTTCCAAATTTTTTAGGGTCTTCTATAAATCTATAATCTATAGTTCTATAAATATTAAAGACGTTTAACTTGAAAAAATAATTGTTTGTCTTCATTAACAGCAGCTCCAAAGACAAAACAATACCGAGAGCCAAGTCTCACTGTGACATAAAATTAAACAATTTTTACACAGCAAAATCAGCATGAAACAAAACAGAATGGAATTAAAGTGAAGTAGACTCATTTTAATCTTGAAAATAGTTTGCATTTAAAAATATAACAAATTATTGTTGAAGTTAAAACCATACATGTATTTCAACAGGTAGGAGTTAAAACACAATTAACATTTGACACCTACTATATGTACTGATGGAAATCTATCTGTTTATAAATGTGTCTTTTCATGTTGTTCATTGTAGTGTATGCTGCACATGTCGCATGGATTAACTGAATAAGATGAGTAACTGATAAAAACTATCCATGACAGTGAACTTGACATACAATAATTGATAGTAATTAAATAGGAGAGGACTTTTCTATAATGTGCTGGTGTTTCCTTTTTTTTTTTTTTTTCAGAAATGCAATAATGAATCAAGTG